GTTTATGGGAAAAAATTAAAACAGAATATGATGATTTTGCTGAAGTGTGTGAGAAAAGGAGTGAAATGTATTTACTACCTTAGAACATAATGCAAGATACATTGGCATTAATTTTCCATGCCACATATAAGTAGTATACAAGATCCACTGCCACAGAATGCTATAATCACAAACAAAACAAACATATATGATGGACCAGTCTTTGGTTACTAGTTGTGTTTAACAGGTGAGAGTATAGCTTTCATCTTTGTAGAGAATGTATGTCTGGCACAGCCAAAAGGCTCAGAATTAGAGAAGGAAGAGAGTAAACATGTAAAAGTCATGTAACACCCATATCCCTGCCAAATAATTTTAATGGGTACAGTATACATCGTTCTGACTATAGGTCCAGGGAACATCAAACTGGTTTAGAATTTGACAGTTTCATGAACATCTATGACAAAGGTTTCTCATAATGTAATGTCAGCTCTTAACTCCGTCATCACAAGAATACTTGTCTTTAAAATACATGTCTCCTTCCTTCCTTCCTTCCATATTTAATATACTGCCCCTTTAGTGAAAACACTACTCTGGGAAGTTTATAGATTAAAGCTTAAAATTATATGAGACCCCACATGGCAATACATTCACAGGTACACATCTAAAATTTATACAAAAAGGAAACGAAAGATTAAGAAAATAAAAATAAAAATACTGTGTTTCCCTGAAAATAAGACAGGGTCTTATATTAATTTTTGCTCCAAAAATGCATTAGGACTTATTTTCAGGGGATTTTTTTCATGTACAACAATCTACATTTATTCAAATATGGTCATGTCATCTTCTAGTGGTTGCTGAACAATGGTGGAGGGTGGGGCTTCACTTAACCGGGGCTTATTTTTGGGGTAGGGCTTATATTAGGAGCATCCTGAAAAATCATACTAAGGCTTATTTTCAGGTTAGGTCTTATTTTTGGGGAAACAGGGTAATATTAACATCTGGAGGATCAGTTACTGAAGGCAGTTTTGTAAAATTCAGTTTTCACCAATTTCCTGAACATCAAGAGGGAAGAAGCCCGGCATATCTCAGGTGGTAGCTTATTCCAAAAGATTGGGGCCACCACAAAAAGACCCATTTCCTTGTGGTGGCCTTTTTGGCCTCCCTCAGTGTACCCACTTTTAGCAACCAGGATTAAGAGGAGCAGGTGAAAAGGGTAACTGATTACTAAGGGAGACATTCTAACAAGTGTCAAGGTCCTAAACTATTAAGGGGTTTATAAGTTATAAGCAGGACCCTGAAAGGAGCATAGAAATTGTCTGCAAGGCAATGAAGGTGTCCCAAGACTGGGGATTTATGATCAAATTTACTAGTCCCAGAATTTGGTCTGGCCGCTGCATCTGGGACCTGCTGAAGTTTCCATACTGTTTTCAAGGGCAGCCCTTTGTAGAGATCATTACAGTAGTCTCTTTTTGAGATTACCAATATGTGAACCACTGCTACTAGGCATTTCTTATCTAGGTAGGGATTGCAAATCGGGCAATCAACCTGAGTGGATAAAAGGCCATGGGCAAAATTTGAGCCTCCAGGAAGAGTGCCAGATCCAGGAGTACCCCCAACCTGCAGAACCCAATTGTTCAGGGGGACTGTAATCCCATCAAAGCCAGGTAAATTTCCTTCTAACTGATCCTAACAATAGGAACTCTGTCTTATCCCGATCCAGTTTCAGTTTATTGTCCCTCAATCAATCCATTATCGATGCCAGGCAATGATTAAAGACCTGCAGATGAAGCAAAGGAGCATTTTGAGATTTATGACAAAAGTTTCTTGTAATGTCAGATCTTAACTCATTCATCACAAGAATAATTGTCTTTAAAATGCATGTCTCTTTCCTTCCTATACTGAAGCATCACCTGCAGATGAAGCGAAGGAGAAATAGAGCTGAATGTCATCAGTGTACTGATGAGAGAGAACCCCATATCACTGAAAGACTTCTCCCAGTGGCTTCATGTAGATGTTAAAAAGCATTGGGGAAATAGTCAGCTGCTGTGGGGCCCCACAGGGGTGGAGATGGCATCCCAAGGTTGTACCATCCGGGATTGATCCGCAAGAAAAGACTAGAACAAGGGAGGATGAAGCCTCTGATCTCTAAACTCAATAGCTTTCCCAGAAGCATCCCATAGTTGATAGTATCAAAGGGTGCAGAAAGATCCAGGAGGACCAACTGGATTACATTCCCCGTCTGCACCCTTACAGTGGTTCCCAAACTTGGGCCTCCAGATGTTGGTGGACTTCAACTCCCAGAAATCCTGGTCAGCATAGGTGGTGGTGAAGGCTTCTGGGAGTTGTAGTCCAAGAACATCTGGAGGC